TTTTTTTAATCTTTCCACTTATCCAAAATCTGAACAGTTTAAATAAATAAAGAATTTACAACATCTTATCAAACCAAGTGATCATATTATCAACGTAGAGCTGGTACACAAATTATTTAATGTAAAAAATTAATAAACAAGTAATTTGTAAGCACAAAACAAAACCGACTTCAATTCTCATATAAAAATTTAATAGTACCGGTAATTTTTCATGATCCAATGATCGGATCTAAACCAAATTAGTATGGGATCATCTGGGAATCGGTGACGTGGTCCAAAGTTACGCGGTAACATACACAAAAAAAAATATTCCGACGAATTGATAACCTTCTCCTTTTTTTGAAGTCGGTTAAAAACTACTGAAACAAATAACAAAATGGTAAAAGAGTAACGAAAACAAAAACTTTCCCATGAAAAAATACTTAATGAAAACTTAAAATTGTTGGCACCATTCCCTAGCAATATAAATCAGTTAACTTTTAATCGTAAACAATTTCGTTTGGGGTGGCCATAGCCTACTACGTAAGTGCGAGTAAAGAAATTTTGAATAACATGAGAAAATGTGATTATGATTATGACTATCACTACTATTGTGAACTCCTATTCCCGATCAAAGATTCCCAAATTAAAGCGAAAGCAGAAGGGCATTCACGATCGCATGCTGCAAATGTTAAGATAACAAGAGCTGCGGAACTGAACCATACAGGAACATTTTTTAAAAGAGCGTGTTATTTCTGGCGTGTGCCGATGATATCGACATCATCGGTAACAGAAATCACGAAGTCTGTTCTCCCTTTTGCAAGCTGGATAAGGAAGCAAAGCTAATGGACCTGGTGGCAAACGAGGACAAGACGAAGTAGTATCTCCTGTCATAAAATAATGGGAAAGTGGAGAATTTCGTTTACTAGGGAACGCATTATCACCGATAAAAATATCAGCATGGAAATCCCACGCAGAATCACTCTTGCCAACATGTGCTTCTTTAGACTGAGTAGGCAATTCGGGAGTAAAGTTCTCTCTCGACGGAGAAAAACCACACTCTATAAGTCACTCATCATGCCCGAGCTGTTATATGGCGCAGAAGCTTAGACAATGATAACATTCGATGAGGCGGCTCTGGAGTATTCGAGAGAAATATCTCGTGGAAGATTTACTGGCCTCTACGCGTTGGCGACGGGGAGTACCGTAGATTATGGAACGATGAGTTGTATGAGCTTTACAACGAAATGCACATAGTGCAGCAAATGAAAATAGAGCAGCTCAGCTGGCTTGACCATGTCGTTCGAATAGGAACTGATGTTCCAGGTCTGAAAGTATTCAACTCGCAATCCGCTGGTGGTAGCAGAAAAAGAGACAGACCCCAATGCAATGGAGAGACTAAGTGGAAAAGGACTTGGCTTCACGTGGCATTTCCAATTGGCGTCAGTTGGCACAGAGAGAAACAACTGGCGTGCTTTTTCGAACTCGGCAAAACTCGCGTATGCGGTTACAGCTCCAAATAAGAAGAGTCAAATGATAAACCAAAAAGTACGGGAACGCTATTCGGGTAAAAACTGGTAAAACTGTCAAATACACCGTGGACACCATTTTTTGTTTACATAACAGTTTTTTATCTTTTGGCGATTGTCTAAATTTTGCTCAAATATACCAGCAAATTAACAAAAATACTTACAAAACTTGATATTTCTTCACTAGGATATATTTAATAAGGTGAAAATGCAGATGCACTTTTGTTTTTGCTTATTGAAATTTGAAATCATTTGAAAAGCTGATGGTTTGACACTTTACAAGATTGTACCAGAAAAAACTCTTCGTGGAAAATATTGCAACTTCTGACAAAGAGAGGGCCGATTTTACTCTCCCATTTTTCCTCTAATTTACCAGAGAATCAAGTACGGGAACATTTTCTGATAAAATCCTGTAAACTCTTGCAACTTCCTGCGAGTTAGGGAACGCAACTATTGTCTGTAGTTTCTCGACTAACACTAGCGGACGAGATAAATGCTTGCCTGAAATAGTCAACATTGCGACAAGACGAACATACATACATACACGGCAGCCGAGGTATTTTTGCGATAATTACTGGACATTGGGAACGGAAACCTACCAGTCAATGAGGGATTAAGACGAGTTTTATTGCTTGATAATTTTTTCAACTTAGAAGTATAGAAAGGAGAACTGATCGAAAAAATGTTTTTATATTAAGAAAATTAATTATAGGAGCTGGCTTAGTGAACGAGCTATTCTTGCTGCGAAGAACAAGGATGTCTTTCAACTAAATAATAGTGGTATTGACAGCAGTCGTTGCTTGAGCTGGTCTGCTCTTTCACCAGACTTCCAGGACTCAATAATGCTCAAGGTCAACCTTTGGAAAAGCATGGTTTAGATTTAGATGCGGATTGCTTCTCAGCAAACCAAATATCCTTGATATGATGTGTGCACACAATTACTTATTACAAAATCAAACTCATATGAAACGTATGCTTTGTTTCGTTATTAAATTATCGTCCATGTAACAGGAATATGCCACAGCAAAGCGTGGCAGGGTACAGCTAGTCTTTTTATAATTCCCCACCTTTTTTTTACGTTTTATTGAATTAAACCTGTGTTATTACATATATCATTTATTTATAAGAAGAAAAACAAATAAACTTACCTTTTATTTCAATTTAAGATGTTTTTTTTTTATTAGATTAAATAGTAGGAACCTTGAGAAATTGAAATTTCGTTAACAGCAGGATTTGAGTATTTAGTTTTATCCAATTATATTTTGAACTAGGATAGTATAGGATTGTACGGAATTGAGAAGTGCTAGTGACATAAGTAATAAATGAATAATATATGCCTATTGACTGTAAATGGATGAAGATCTCTTTATTTAAAAATGAAGTGGTGAAGAATTAGTGTTTGGTGTGGGTGTTACACTAGGGCCTAAGAGGGGATGTGGGAGCGTAAACTAATGACAGGACCGATACAGGACTGATGTACCAATAGACAGACGTACGATGTCAGGCTAAGGGGGCGTTGCAACAATGTTAGGAGTCGGCGCAACGCCAATGGCTGCGTGTGAGACACGCAGAGGGGCAGGGATGACTCCACCTGACGGGACGGGCCTTTTCTTTTAACTTTCGTCCTTTACTGCTTTAGTTCACTTTCTCCTCTTCGTGGTTTCATATGAAATCAGGCATGACAACAATTTTGGTTATGTAGGGTTAGGTAAGGCGAGTGGAAACGACTCCCCCCATCCGGCGAGCTAAGCCTGGGCCTGCCACCATGCCTGGAAACCACCTCGTCCTACCCAGCAGGCACCCTCATAACAATCTACATACTTATTTATGTATTTGATATATATGTCCTTAGTTTTAAGTTCAGCGATGCTGTCGTCAAGTATTTTATCTAAAACAATGTCGGCTACAGTGGGCGATAAGGGGTTCCCCATTGGCATGTCATGAACTTGTTGATAGTATGTTCCATCATATAAAAAGTAATTATTATCTCGCAGGCAGAATTCAAAGGTCGTTAAAAATTGTTTTCTTGTGAGTGTGGTATGGCGTTGCAGGGAAGTCCATTGTTCCATAATTGTA